GGTGGTCAGGCTTGTCTGCAATATTTAGGAACATCTAATAGGATTTTTATAAGGGAACATTTGGTGGTAGAACAGAGACACAGTGGGTCCAATGAAGAAAACTCTCCAGACAAAGACAGTTATGATGGAAAAGAAAGCAAGAGTTCCCCAGGACTCTAATTTTGCTTTGTCAAGAGTATTGCTGTTGTGATTTTAAGAATTGTTTTCTCCTGGAGAAGTGAATATATTCAGAAATACCAGCCTTCCCCTCTTAGCGCTGGAACAGTAATAATAGAACCAGCTAGGAGAGACGGTCCCCTCCTGGGCCCTGGTACCTTGTCACCAATCCCACCTCTTGGAGCCTGGGGCTTCTTAGTACACTTGAAAAGTAATGGGCTTGCTCAACACCAATTCCCACCCAGATATTCTCTAATGTGAAACCTCGGATACTGGCACAGAGCTGGGCACAGAGATGGGAAAAGCCCCCCAAAGCCAGATGCCAAGGGCTTCCTGCTGTGAAGGTCAGCATTTGACTCAGAGCAAACCAATATGCTGGTACCAGGAGCCCGCCTCTCCCCCCCACTCCCCCCAGCAGGGGAAGCCCGCAAACAGTGCCTGAATGATGGTGAAAGAAGGGGTGCTGCCCGCTCTCCAGGCAATCTGGTTTCCTCTTTCATACTAAACTACAGCCTACCAACCACCCCCCACTCCAACCAGCATGGGCTTGAAATTAATCAGGCCTCAAGAAAAGAATCCCCAGAGAATGAAACAAAGTGCACCCAGTAAAAATGTCTTCTCATCGTCCTCTCTCCTCTTCTCTCTGACCTGACACCCCTCCCCACCCCCCGCCAAGGGGGAAAGATGGCATATCCTAGCAGCAAGGCATTAGGGCTCTGGTTCAGAATACCTCCGTTTCACTCCATTGGGTCGTGTCATCTTTGGCAACTTAGTTAACCCCTGTGAGCCCCAGTTTCCTTATTTATAAAATAAGGACAGTGGTACCCATTCTGTAGGGTGGGCTGAGCACTAAATAAGACCGTGTGCAAAAACTGCCAAGCATGATCCGGGGTTCATAGTATCCCTCTGGATATGCTACAGAGTAGCAATCTTAGCCATGATTCTCACCAGAAGTGGTCTGTGCAATAGAAGTCTGCTGTTGTACTTTTCAAACAGTGGGTATTGGTCACTATATAACTTGAATAGATTTATTTTAACATAAGTCAAATGGCTGGGCTGGAGGCATTTAACACCAAGCAAGAACCTTGCCCTAGGAGTTTAGTGGTCAGTTTCCTATGTTCTAAAAGCAGACTAGAGCCCACTGGGAGAAAGCATGCTTTCCAAGAGAAAAGTAGGGAAACATTGTTTTCATCAACTAACAAGTAAGTGGGGGACATGGGCATTCTGTTTAATTGACAGAATTTATCTTTGTAAACTTATTCATCAAAATGTGATCCTTGGACCACCGATGTGAGAAAAACTGGGGGAGCGTTCTAGAATGCAGATTCTTGGGGTCCCACTCAGATCTCCCAATCCAGATGATCTGGCAGTGATGACTCCTCTGCACCCCTAAACTTTGAAAACTGCTGGTCTCTGTATTTTGCCAGGCTAGTTATGACATCTGGATCGTATTATACATAAAATATATTCAAGGAGAAATTGTGAAATTATTATCTGTGGGTCCAAAGTTGTGTAATAATCGGATTCATTTTTATTTAAAAACATATCTATACTCATTGCCTAGCCATGCTTAGGACAAAGACTGGAAGCACACACATCTTGTTTAACGATGGCTATCTTTAAGTGGTAATGTTATGTGTGATTTATCTCATGCGGTGCTTTCCTCCATTTTTAAGTGTTCTGCAAAGAGTATCTATTACCTTTTTAATGAGAAAAAAAAGATGATTTTAAAATAAAAACATTGCAGCCAAATGTGCAGCATCAGACGCTTCCTGAAATCTTACAGAATTCTGGAAAAAGGAAACACAAGACTCATGGATACCAAACTATCTCTCATTTGAGATGATGAAACCAGGTCTAGAGAAGGAAAGTGACCTGCCCGCAGTGGCCCAGCAGGTTAGTGGCTGGGCTGTGAGAGATCCCAGGTCACCATGCTCTCCAACCAGAGGGCTTTGAAGTGTCCCGTGCTTTCCAGGGACCTGCCTCCCTTCCTTCCCACCCCGTGAGGGTGACGGAAAAACCACAGGAAGTGCACTGATTCTGAGGGTGGAGAAGTATGTAATAGCCTTTGCAGAGAGGGCTTTGCAGCTCTCATTATTCTCTCTCTGGGAGTTAGTAGGTCATTTGCAAAAGGCATGGGAAGAGCAGCTGATGAAAAGGTCTAATAGTTTGGAAAACTGCTTAACCTTATTTCTCTATTTCTGGATTTCCCCCCATGGCCAAGGACTGTTGAGATCCTGATTTCCCCTGGAGGTTTCCTGTTTAGGAATGCAGTGAAACCTCTGAAATCCAGAGGAATTGGGGAGAAGGCCAGCTGGAATTAGGGAACGGTCTGAATACTTTTTAAGAACATTCAGGTCTATTGTTTTCAAGGACACAGAGGCCCAGATTTGGAAGGATCTTAGTCCAGCTCCTGCTCGGTGCAGGAAACTTTTGTGCTTCATCCCGCACAGAGCTTTATTTGGGCTTCTCTTGAATGCTTCCAATGACAGGAGGCTCACTCTTCTGATAGATAATCTATTTCAAACGTAAAGTCTATTTTTTCCCTGGGCTGGGAATCTACCTTCCTCTAAGTTTCTGCTTGCCTTCTGGTGTTCATATAAAATCGATGTGCTCCTTTTCCCCCAGATGATCCTTAAACATTTGAAGGCAGGTACCATGCATCAAATAGGTCTTCAGAACATCCTCCTCTGCCAGCTGACCACCCTCAGGATACTTGATCATTATTAATCATTATAGGACAAATGTCATCAGTTCTAATTAGAATTATGGTCTACTGGCTCTTCCTAGCTATATAAATTCATACCTGAAGAGAGCTTAGAGACCACCTGCATGGGCCTCATGATTTTACGGAGGAGTAAACTGAGGTCTGCTGAGGAAAACTGCATGACCCAACATGAGAGAGAGAGAGAGAGAGGGAGAGAAAGAGAGCCCGAGAGGAGACCTGAAACCTAGTTATCTGAATCCCAGAGCAAGCCTCTTTGTACCTCACTCTGCCTCCTATTATTCATAAGGTATCAGTATTTCTCAAGCCCTTGAGAGTGCTTGGGAAGTTTGTTTTCTTAGGTATTTCAAAAATGCCTCCTTCAAATTATATTTGCACTGTCACTGAAGGAGGGATTAGCGCAGGACGGAATTTCGTGGACCTGATACTGTCCGTGAAAAGCCTCGTTCCAAATGCATTCACTGTCCTTGCTCTCCGCGGTCAGAAGACCCTCTCCTCCAAATGGACAGCACACCTTAGAGGGCCGCCTCAGCCTGCCAGGTTTCCCATCAGGTCCCAGCGGCCCACTCCATTTCTGGGAACTTCCCAACTTCGGAACCAAAAAGGAATGCGCCTGGATGTGAGGCAGGCTGTGTTTCTGCTCTACCCCGTGCTCCTTTTAAAGTTTCAGATCCTCTTTTCAGTGTTGCCGGATTCTCAGCGAAAAGACAAAGAAAAGGCTCAGAGAAACAAACTAGGCACTTGGGTGATAGGTTTCCTGTCCCAGTCCCCGGCAGTCCTGCAGTCACATGCTTCGAAGGGCACATTCCTTCCTGCTCCAGCCCGCAGCGACCTCCCTCTTCTCTCTGAGAGGTATTGCGTTTCCAGTTCTTACACTCGGTCTGGCGCGGGTGATGAGCTGCCTTGGGCTGCTTCCTGGTCTGCATGGGCTTGGGCTCCAGGGGACCCGGGTTCCAGTCCTGACCCTGCAGCTCGCCACCTTGTGCAGCTTTGGAAAGTGACTTAATCTTTCTAAGCCTCTGTTGTCTCATTTGGTAGGAGAGGACAATTACGTTGCCTACATCGTAAGGCTGTCCAAATGATGTCATGGCTAAAAAGGTGTCTAGCACTGTCCTGATCATTCAGGAAGATTCCATAAAAGGGATCTATTTAGTATTATTCATCTTATGCTACAGAAGGTAGAGACTGAAGCCCATACTCTTCTCACATGGCACACAGCAGGTGCTCCAGAAATGCTCCTGACTGATTCTAGCCTGGGCTTCTCTTGGTAGTAGTTTCACCAAAAATATGCTGAGTATCATGTGACCACAGGTTCTACTTCAAAGGTCCCTCTTCCCCAGATTCCTTTCCCTGAGAGTGACCTCGGTGAGGAGGCCCACCCTAGCCTGCCACTTTGCACACCTGTCAGCTTGCATCTCAGGATAAGGTTCTCATTTGACAGACTGTGAGAACTTGCTGTCCAGGCAAAGAAAACTTTATGACGATGAATCCAACACAAACCTTATGTAACCAATCTGTCAGCAAATGGAGGGACAGAGGGACATGGACAAATGCCTGCCTACTTCCCCTCCCCCTTGCAAAACAAAAGAGAACAGAAAGTGAGGGATTGAGACCTTCCTGAAACATCCATTTGTCAAGACCCTTAAAATTGATCAGAGTTTTTATATTAAAAGGATTCCTAAAGGAACATGAATATGGCTAAACTCCTTTGTACCTGAATTTTAACTGAAATTACATTAGAGGCTTCTCTAAGCAAAAAAAAAATATATATATATATACAACATTTTTTTAAAATAATGTTTATTGTCCATGGGACTTACAAAGGTGACAGAAAAGTTTACAACATTTTTTTCTACTTGAAATTTCTACCTGGAGTGGCTTGAAATTCCTGGCAGGCTAAGGAATCTTGTAGCTTCCCCCTGAATGCTGAGGGTATCCTAGTACACTCGTGCAGAGTAAAAGAACAATTCTTTCTCTTGCCCTTGTTGCACATTATTTGGTCATCGCCTGAATTTTGTGCTAAGGACCTGAGAGCAATAAGAACACCCACTGAGTCTGTTACGTGACAGCCTGAGGGAAAAGCTTCCACAATTGAGGGTGAGGACAGAAGTCAATGACCAGGCAGTGGAGGGAACACAGCAGTTTCTGGAATAACAGCTGACAGCTGGCTTCTCCGGCTATTACCCTGTCTCTTACTTACATCCTTGGCTTCTTACCTCGGGCAGGTCATTCCCCTTCATAGACTTTTCATCTCCTCGGATGCCCAGTGCTTTCTACGGGCTCTTGCAAGTCCAAGATCCTGTGAGGCTACCAGGAGGGTGAAAATTAGCTGGAGAAGTGGCCCACACCCCTGGGTGGGGGGTCCAGAGCAGGTGGAGAATGTAAGAATGGGCAGGGAAGCCCTTGGAGAACAAGTAAAAGTGCTGAAGGGCACCCACTCTCCCATTCACCACAGCACGTTCCAGGAACTTGGGCACCTAGTTTTCCCTCTGAGAGCTGAGCCTGCACCCGGACACCCATCACTGAGCTGACAGGAAGCTGAGGAAGCCAGTGCTTTTCTGGTTGGGGACCTTGGCTGGGACAGAAGGGAAGAGAGAAGTGGAGTCAGCTTCAGGAGCGGGTGAAATGGCAGTGAACCTGAGGGCTGATCCTCTCCAGGCTGCCAGTTGCCAAGGAGGACGGTCCACTCGGTCAAACCTGGGCCAAACTCTGGCTCAGACCCACGGGCAAAAATAGGAAGGGGGTGGGAGAAGCGATGTGTTTACTTTTGTTATTTTTCCCTCCTGTGCCTCTTCACAGTATTAGAACCTCTGCACAAAAAGGCAGTAGACTCACAGGCCTCGCCTCCACGGATAAGCCCTCCCAAACACTGCACGTCCCCCCAAACACAGTCAGTGTCGGGGTGGCTGGAAGGTGAGTTCGGAAGGCAGCATGGATGGGGGGGTGGCCTGGGGGCTGCCACTAACTGGGCAGACAGTGGAAAGTCCCTCTCGGATGCTCTGCCTAAATCAAGCAGTTGCATTAGACAGAAGCTACCAATCTGTCTAGATTTTTGAAGCTTCTCTCTATGGTTCTCAGCCAGGGGTGATTTCACCCCTCGAGGAGTCTTTGGCATTTTTTGGAGGGTGCAGCCGGCATCTGATGGGGAGAGAACAGGGATGCCGCCGCAGCTCTGACCACACACGGGACAGCCCCCCGCTACGGAGAGTCACCTGGCCCGCCGTGGTAACAGTGCCAGAGCTGAGAAGTCGGGCTCTATACCCAAGTGAGGAGGGTCAGAAGAACAGGGGCGGGGCGGGGTGGGGGGGACAGAAGGAAAGAAGGAGGAGGGGCTGCGATCCCACTCCGAGGTCATGAGGTATTCATCGGGTGGGTGTTTTCCAGCTCTGTCCCTATGACCAGTGCCCTTTCCAGGTTTCCTTGGAGGTAAAGGGCTTTGTTTGAGGACCTTGCTCATAAGAGCGTCTTCCTTCTCTTTAAAATGCCAAACTCTGACGCAGTACAAAGATTTCCACTATAAGAGGCAGCCAATGTATCATAACATGAGCAGCTAGTGAACAAGTAGGACTTGTAGGTGGGTGGTGGCGTGGGCGCGCGGAGGGACAAAACAGAGGCCCGTAACTCCGTTTCTGTGAGTCAGTGTTTCGGCTCTAACAAGGAATCCTCGCCATGGGACCGGCGAGACAAGCTATGCTGACGGCGGGCGGAACTGCCCCGAGGCACTGGCATTAAGAGAGATACAGGTTTGCGGCAGCAGATTCAAAGGCAAAGGAAAGGGTTAAGCAATCAGTGCACGCCACTCCTGTATCATTCTGTATTAAGTCCCTGGGCAGTTATTACAAATAGTTACCTGCGGTTTCCAGCGGGGGAGGTGACCACACTCCACTCAAGGGGTTTTGGGAGAAACAGGTGCAATGAAGTCATGGTCAAACAATTTATTTACTGTAAACTTTAGACTTTGCTCAGGAACACAACTGAAACTGCCCCTCAAGTCCCTGCCTACAACACCCTGTTTGAGCAAATAAGAGGAGCGGGGAGAGTCCGTGTTCACAGCTGAAAGGTCCGAGATACTCAAGATCTTCCAGTGCAAGGGTACGGGAAGGAAAAGACTCCTTCACATACAAATTACCAGCAGCAATATATATGTATATATATTACCCCTAATACTTGACCAATGAGGTAGATCCACGGAAAAGTCATCAAAACAGAGCAACCCCAGGTCCTCTGGGACTGAAGCCCTTCAGATACAAACAGACACGTTCCATGCAAAAAAAGGAACTCAACTGTACAAGAAACAATCACTCGAATATGCTCTCTTTTTTTACAGCTTAAAAAAATAAAAAAAAGGCAGAAGGCTGCCCTTCTGCACATCTCTATACAATTTTATTCTAAATGTATTACACTCAAGTTAAATAGTCTGTGTAGTGTTGTGCTGGGGGAGGGGTTTCATAAAAAGTAGAAAAACTGCCTTAGAGCAGTGAGTCGTTTGTACTACAATTCCTCCCTTGTGAATCAATGCTATCGTTATGCACAGTACCTTGACGGTTCGCAAGGTCTTCCGTGCCTGGGGGGTCCTCACACAGCAGTTCGCTGTCTTTCTCCTGCCCCAGGTGACATCCACTGTGCTCCCCAGCGTAGTCGGTCCTGCTGTTACTGTTGTTGGAGTAGCCATTCCCATAGGCCTTCAGTGAAGACCTACGCAGGCACAGAAGCTCCTGGAAGGCAATCCTGAAGTCCGGGCTCCGGCAGTAGATAAGGGGATTGAAAGCAGAGTTGACATAGCCCACCCAGTTTAGGAGGATGTAAACTTCCTTGGGGATGAGGTTATCCTGGATCACGTGCACTATGTTGACAATGAAGAAGGGCAGCCAGCACAGGGTGAAAGTGCCCATGATGATGCCCAGAGTTTTGAGGGCTTTGTGTTCCTTCAGGCAGAACTTGGAGGCCCTGCGGTGTCCGTGCCCACTCCGCCCATCCTGCTCCACTTGGCTGAGGTTTTGGGCATGGAAGCGGCCCTCAGATCTGTCGATCTTCTGGAGCTGCCTTTGGGCCACCTGGAAGACCCTGGAGTAGACGAAGACCATGACCACCAGGGGTAAGTAGAAGGACACGATGGAGGAGGCAATGGCATAAGCTTGGTTCGTGAAGAAGTCACAGCATGTCTCCTTGGCATAGCAGTTGATGGCTTCCTGGTGGGTGGCCCGGTACCAGTGCATCTGGATGGGCAAGAAGGAGGTAAGGCCCGACACGATCCACACCATCAAGATGACCACCCGGGCCTTATTCTTGGTCAGCAGGCTCTGGTACTTGAAGGGTGATGTGATAGCAAAGTAGCGATCCACTGCGATCACGCACAGGGTCTCGATGCTGGCCGTGACGCACAGGACGTCAATGGAAGTCCAAAACTCACACCAGAAGTTGCCAAAGGTCCACATTTTCATGAGGATGTGGCTGGCCCCAAAGGGCACCACCGCCAGGCCCATGACCAGGTCAGCACAGGCCAGGGAGGTGATGAAGTAGTTGGTGACCGTCTGCAGACGCTCGAACTTGGCGATGGCTGTGATGACCAGCACGTTTCCAAACACGATGGCCAGGACGATGAGCGACATGACGATGCCCATGCCCACGACCCACGCCTCATTACGTTCCTCCGTGCCATCTTGGTCCGGCGCGTGGCTGCCGTTGGGCGCCAGCAAGAAGACGCTGCGGTTCCCGGGCTGCCCCATGGCGCGCAGGCTGGCAGGTGAGCGCACAGGGTGCCGGCGCACCTGCCGCGCCTCAGCGGGCGGACCTCCGGCGCGGCGCTGCGGGCAGCGAGCGGACGCCGGGAAGCCTCATTCAGCGGCCGGGGGGTGGCTGTGCTGGGGATGCGTCCTGCACTCAGCTTGCGGGGTGCTCCGGGCTCCCCGTGCGCGTTGGACCCAGCCGGCGCTCTGGAGAAGCCGCCCCGGAGTGCGCGCTGCCCGTTATGTGCACAGGACTTTAGGGACCTGCCCTCCCCGTGACGTGCGGCAACTTTCCGCCAATGGCGGGCGGGCAGCCCCGAAGGGGCGAGGTCCCTTCCCCTTCCCGCCCTCCCCTCCCCTCTCCCGCCCCCTCCTGGGGCTGGCGCGGGCGGGGCCCAGCTGCTCCTGGGCGGCGGACGGGCCACCTCTCTCTGCCGGCTCCCCGGCTGGCCCCGGAGGCCTGCAGCTGGGGCTGGCGTGCTCACCCGCCGACCCGGGAGCCTTGGGCTCTTCTGGGGGCTGCTACCTGTCTGGCCCGGGCGCCTGGGCGGCCGCTCCCCAACATTCGGAAACAGAGACGACAGTGCCCACCCAGACACGCACGGGCAGGCACACTTGCACCCCGACAGACATGCTCAGACTTATACAGAACCACAGCCACCAACACGGAGACACACCCGCCCAGCGCACCCACAAGCACACTCGCGCGCGCGCGCGCGCACACACACACAGAAGCCCACAGGCACAAAGTCACCCCTGTCCAACAGAAACGGGCCCAAGACACAAACACAGAAGCACCCAGAAGCACAGAGGCATGGGCAAGCACACAGAAAGAAGTAAACAACACACAATCGCTGGCTTGGAGTCACAGAGCGCCACAGACTCCAACGTCCCCGTCCAGGTATTCCAAATCCCCTCACACTTGCATACGAACCCCAACTTCTCCCCGCCTCCCCGCCCCCCCATCCCCCGCAACACCACCGGCAACATAGACGCGCGCGCACACACGCACACGGGGCACATTCCCTTTCAAACATTTGGCAGGACCACAGGAGGTGACTTCAACAGCTGCCCGATTTCCTCAGCACACTCACTGTCAAGTACTTTTGGTGCCCTCCTTGGGAATTTGCAGGCATTGAGACACAATTTCACTCCTTGGATTTCATTCTGAGCTGGAGCGGGGGGGTGGGGGGGGGACGCATGTATGCGTTTGGGGACAGAGAGAAGGTTGTGCGCTTATATTTGTAATTCTTGGGAGTGTGGCATCACTCCCTTGTTATCTGTGGGAATGAAGATGAGTTGAATATGGAAAAATTTTCCTTTCAACCTCATCTTCTTCAGCAAACCCACTGCCACTAGAAATATACTTACATCTCCCTGGCAAGTTTGTTGATCTGTTGGGTGGAGCCCTATGAAATTGCCGCTCTTCTGTGGTTTCTGACTTTAAAAGTGGTTATTTCATATGGCTCAGACTATTAGAATGTGTTAACATTAAGAAAGTTTTGAAACCATGGGAAAGAAGATCATTTCTCCTTTTAAAAAAAAAAAAAAAAAAAGGTTGGACCAAGGCTTCAGACTAGGGTCTTTGTCCAGGAAATATTATCCTTTGCATCTGGCGTATGACTTTACTGTTAAAAAGAAATTAATTTTCAGGGTTTGATTTCACAAGTCTTAGTAGCTTCTTTGAAAGACTGAAAGCATTTCATGCAGTGTAACCAAACATACTTTGTAGATTACATAATAACATAACAATGGCTAACATTTAGGGAACATTCTGCTGTGTGCTTTTCATGCATTATTCCATTTAATCCTTCCCACAGTCCCATGGTAGGGGGAGTACTATTTTTAGCTTAATTCACAAATGGGGCTCCAAGAGGAAAATAGCTTGCCTAGGGGCACCCGGCCAGGCAGTGCCAGAGGCAGGAGGTGAACCCAGGTCTTCTTGACTCTAAAACTCATCTTTTAATCGTTTCGAGGGGTTCTGTCATCACATCCAGAGCCGAAAGGAGGCTAGACAAGAGACTATAACCAGAATTGGAATACTAAGTTTCCAGATCCCCTGTCGTAGCACTTTCCAGCTCACCTTCCTTAGGCAAGTCAAAAAAATGGAGCCTAATTTCTTCCATCTCTAAGTGGAGAATAAAGTCACTTCCACTGGGCGGAGTGAGAATGGAATATATAATAATAAATGTGAAAGTGCTTTTGCACATATATATGCCACACAAACATGGGTCATAAATGAAAATGTATACAAATCACTTGGTAATTTAGAATGCGTTGTTAGTCTTCTCTAACAGAACAATCAAATACTTTAAGACAAAAGTAACTCGGGTGTTTACTGTAGAAGTAAAGCTCAGAAAAACAGAACAAAACAAAAAATGTAACCTTCTTGCTCCCTTTAACTCCCTTTACCAGCCAGAGATGGTTTTCACAGAACAGATGCCTTAAAAACCAAATATTTCCCATAAAAGGCACAAATATTAATTAAAGATCTATTACGTTCCCATAGTTTTCAAAATATACCCACCCCATATTTGTGTTTTCCAAAATTGGCTTTGGTATGGTGCATTTTAGGAAGAGGCAGTGTGTGTTATGCAACACAGTTTCTTTAAATATACATCTAGCCCAAATGTGGAACTAAGCCATTTAAAACCTCCTTCCTGTTTGCCAAGCTATGGAATAAATAAGCATATTGTTTAACCTTCCCATAACGACAACAACAAAAAGAACAAAGAAAGCCCTTTTAGGACAAACACTAATTGATCATTTAGATATACACATGAGTCATCGAAAAGCCTAACTTTGAATATTTTGGGAAACACCTTTTAAAAAACCCACAAACACTAAATCAAGAAGGGAAGATGGCTTATGTCAACGAGGAGGTTCCAGGCTCCTACCCATCAGCTTTCCCAAAGTGACAATCTCTCCTCTTCTCCCCCAACCCCTTCTCACGTTTTCTTTCTCTCTCCCTCCCTCTCTCCCTTCCTCCTTCTCTCTCTCTCTCTCCTCTCTGCTTCATCACCAAGCCGGTAGGAATTTCAAGATGCTGTCTTCACACCAAGAGTCTTCTCTTGACCTCCTTTTTGAGTTACGGGAGTTGAGAGAGAGTGGGACAGAATTTACTAGATCATTGAGCTCATTTCTCCCCACCCCCTCCAGTTTGCAAATGAGAAAACTGAAGTGAGGAAGTAAGAAGGATCTAGTCGAAGGTGGAAAGCGAGATAAAGGGTTCAGGCCTGCCTCTGGCCTTCCAGATTTTCACCGCCCCACGCTGTCCTTTCACTTCCCCGGGAGAGGACTTCGACTGGCCCTGCTTGCTGGGCTTGTGGCCTTGGAGACTTAATGCTTCAGCTGAACTGGGAAGTTCTTAGACTAAATGTACCTTTATCTGATCTAAGAAAAATCAGTCTCCTTTATGGTGATTGATAGTGTCTAATTACATATTTTGTCAATCCCTTAAACCACCGATTTGTCGTTTCCTGCCTGCCAAACAGGAAACACACACACACACACATTTTGATTTGCTGAACAAATGTTTGAATAGGAGTAAGGCTCCGTGGTGCCAGGGAATGTCCTCACACCATTAGCTGTACAGCTTAGGAAAATCTTATCCCATTCTTGGCTTAGGTGAACTTCCTTCCATCTTTATGATCATCTGTACAGAGAAACATCTGTAGATTTCTTTCTAAATAATGGTCTTAAATGTCTCTTTAATATTATCTCTGTATACCTTCATCCCATTACATTTACATTAGATGAGATTAAGTGCCCATAAAGTGTTTTCAGTGTGCTCCCTTGCAAAAGAGGTAACTATTACCTTTCTCTTATTTTCGAATCAGAATGTAAGTATAGAGTACATGGATCTTATCAGGTCCTATGTGTGAAAGGACACTTTGAATGTGAATAGTCAGTAATTTGTTTTTAATTTGAATTTCTGTGGAAAAGAATGAAAGCCCGGACAAAGCTGGGTGTCTTAGAAAGAAACATGACTCTGAAAAATTACCATTACCACTGAGTTATATAATACGCTGGGTGGAATGTTCACTATTTTTGAATGAAGCATCTCATGGTCCGGTCAGCCCCTTACACAATGCATTCCCCCAAAACTCTCAGACAGCTCTACCAGGGGCAAGTTCCCCGGGTCCTTCTGCCATTGTACGTTTCTGACTGTCCAGAGAGTGACCTGAAGTCCACCTTCTCATAGCTCCTGCCCGTCGGTTTTAAGTCTGCCCCCTTGAGGCCACTCAAAACAAGTCTCCTGTCTCTTCCCCAAGACTGTCCTCAAGCTTTCCGGAGAAGCCCTTGGAGTTCTCCTGAGCCTTCCCTTCCGCTTAAATATCCCTTGTTTCCTTGGGTTTGGAGACTGTTTTACCGTCTCGGGAGATCTATTTATACTTGGGTCAGTCGATGTCTAAACTTAACATCAGTACCTGGTATGATCATAGAACAAGTGCTCAAATAATCAATTTGCAGTCACCTTGGCAACCACAAAGAAGCAGGGCCACCAGCAAAGCTTTCAGAACAGCTGATTATACCAGATGAATTTAATTTCCTGCTGTGCTAGCGTTTCATGAGAGACATGCTAATAAATTCTCCACGTCTCAGGGGCACTGAACAAAGGAAGATGGTTTAAATGAAACCAGGAGAGACTTCAGCTGGTCTTATGAAGGGCTCCTCGGCCTGGGGACATTGGGAGAGGCGAACCTCCAGCAGCTTTTCTCAGTGGGGGGGCTTTGCAAGAGAATTAAACAAGCAGGAAACTGAGTCACTCTTCTAACCAATTCTCCCAAGAAGGGCACCTAGCTATTAGCCTCCGGGGGATATAAGTGAGAGATTAAATTGTTCCATACAATGCAACGAATGCCTTAGGGTACAAGCGAGGGGCATCCCTTGATGTCTCCTGCAGATATGGGAACAAACGGGATGTGGGGATGAATACTTCCGTGTGATGGACCCAGGGTGGTGCGGAGGAAGGAACATGGTTGGGGGGTCAGGAGACCCAGGCTCTGGGCCCTGAACGGCTCTAATGTTGTAAATAACCTTAATCAAGTCACGTTCTTTCTTGGAGCCTCGATATCCATCCATGACATGAGGTTGGCCTGGGCGACCTC